ATAGATACTGTCTATAAATATACCATATAACCTTAAGGCAGTTGCCTGTTAATATGCACGCATATTTAATTTTGTTTGTGTTCTGTTAGTACGTACTGGCCGATTTTATTTGAGGTTTTGTATTAAAGTAAAAATTGCAGACTTACACAATCAAGTAGTAAGACACCAGAGACTCAAGAGTCCAGGTTGGTCTTATTGAATTAATGAATCTGTATCCTTAGTGTTTATTGTAGAAACGACCTTTCCTCCGGCGTCTTGGCAATAGGCTGTGTGGTTTCATCTGGTCTGCTGTTCCCTGTAAGATTTGTGCTTCGGAATATGCAGGCTGGTATGCTGATATCGTGACCCTTTGGAGAGAAGCTGAACCACTCAAGCTTCTGTCTGACGCGGAACCGGTACTTCAGGGACCCAGCTGTGTGTGTCGTCACATGGTGGTGATGTCACCAAAGCGGGACAGGGACAGTAAAGGGGGTCAGGATGGGGGTGGGACCGTTTCATTCTTCTCCATCCTCCAAATTCCAGTTGATGGAGGAACATAAAATAAGTAGATAATGAATTCAGAAGAGAGAGTTTAAAACTGCTTTGATTAATGTATTTATTTCAATCTTTTGATATACAGCCCATTAATATGCAAGCATACAGAAGGTATTTTAACTGAAAGCTAACATATATGTATTATAGTATACATCATAACAGAAACAAGCAGAAAGAATATGAATCTCTATTTTATATGTATTCATTAAGAGGAAGTACGAAGCGTGTTTATTTAAAAACAGAGTAATGACGTATTAATGATTTTAAATCAGCTTAAGAAGCTTACTGATGCTGTTTATCTGTTTGTTAAGGTTTGGTAGCGCTCCCGTTGATCATTTTGAGAGCCCAGCATTCTCTGTATGATGGGTCTTCGGGTGCTCCACTGTTAGTCAGCACGTCTACCTTCTCGCTGTAAAAGGATGGCCGGTTATCACCTGATTAAACTGCTTTAGGGCACAGGAACGAGGGTATTGGGAGGTTTGGGATGTTACCTGAGACAGGAGATGGTAGTCTTGACCCAGTCATGTTCAGGACTGGCACAAACCTTCTGGTTCCTCATCGTGACGAATCTGTACAGGGAACAGGATGTGGAAAAAGCTATCAGAGGCAACAGTGGACCAGATTGTCTTGCAATTTCTCCGTTTGTCTGCCCCCCCCCCCCCCACCATCTGCGTCGATCATATTTGAGTTGTTCTGAAACTTTGATACAGCATTGGATGGTCCTTCGCATTGGACTCACATGATGGCGTCCATACGACAGACCTCCAGCGAGCTTTGCACCATGTAGCCCTTGATGAGGCGGAATGGCAGGGGTCTGCGGGTGTACTTCACACAGCAGGCATGGTTCACAGGGCGGTCTGTAAACAGGAGGCACATGCAGCCATCATGGGTCAAAACCACGAGATACAGCACGCAAACCGGGAAGAGCGAATCGGGATTGGAGCGGTCTGGATCAAAGGAGCGGTCTTTCCCAGGTCACCTTCTCTACGATTAAAGAACCTCTCCATCGAAGCTCAAGATCAGAGATTTAAACTCATACTTGAACTAATTCATTTTTATGGCTTATCAATCTTACTATAGAAAAAGCATGGAATAAAATCCACAAATAATAAGAAGAAAAAGATTATACTAGCAGCAAGTAATTAATTTCAGCTTCTGTAGCAGATAGGTAGTACAGCATTGTATTAGCAGTGAAAAGGTTGTGGGTTCAGAGCCCAAGCAGCACATGCAAAATTGTAACTCTTCCCTCACATGTAAGTTGATTTGGATGAAAACGTCAAGTAAATGTAGTTTCCTTGTCCATTGTTAATCATCATTTCGCCAAAAAACTGTTAGCTAATTTCCAGATACGCATCTATATTGTCGATTTAATTATACAATTTTTATAGATTCCGCACAAATTATTGAAGCACACGAAATGACCATGTCCTACACAGCCATGTTTTCTGCTGCCGAAAACGACCCAATGAGAGGAGAGACTCACATGCTTCGCTGGACTGCGGGACCTCGGCCAGGAGGCAGAAGGAAAGGGCGACGGTGACGAGGCTTCTGCAGCAGGTCATGATGGCAAAACGGGGGTCGAGTCTCACTGGAGCGAGATCACCTGCCCCGTGCACGTTTATACCCGCCAGGGCCAGGGGAGGGAACTCCGCAAGGGTCCCGTCGGAAACCGCACATCGGAGCAGTGATAAGATCTTATCTGCAGCCTGCAAATGTAGCACAAAAAGCCAAAGGGACTGAAACCTATGAGCATGGGTGCAGGAAGCACTTGATGTTCTAGGGTTTTTCTGAGGGGGCACATTATAATCAGTGTGGCCCCCGGGGGCCACCGATGCCATAATGGTGCTGCTGAGCTCAGCAGAAACCAAACATAATTTTAAAAATGGGAGCAAATCGCTGCTTTTTACCAAATACAGAATAATGGCCCGAGATCAGCCGTAAACATTTAGTTCCTTATTTATCGTGAAAGATATTTATGTGCCTGACACATGTCCACGCTAAAATGTCTGAGAGCGATGAAGTAATAAATATCAAGTATTCATATATATTATAAAAACAATTTTCACGTAGATCTTTAAGCTAATTCAAAATATATTTGAAAGAATTTCTTCATGTATATTAATTTATCAGTCATGGCCTTGACTAGTTAACAGAAAGAAATCTGTTATATACAGAAAATATGGTGCAGGTCCAATGCGATACATAGTAGTTTTAAAATTATTTGTCAACGATTGATTTTAAACTTTAGAAGGTATAATATGTAAACTACCCTCCTACTTTTCAGCGTATATTAAACATTGTGTATAATCAAAAAATGGCGATTTTAATGCAATTTTGTTTTTCAAAGTATAAAGTTGCATGTACTTTGCTTATGGTTATTGCAAGCATGAGGGGAAAATGTATGTCATGGCTGGAAAACAAAAGAGAAAACTTTGACTTGGTTGACCTATTTAGTTGTGGGAAAGAACATACGTTTGATTTCCTTGAGATTAGAATCTTCTTTGCAGGTTTCTGTCGCCATTACATGACTGTTGACTGGTCTGACCTAAAACAGGGACGAAACAGCATGGTTTAGAGCTGAAATGGTCGACATCGAGCTGCATTCAGGGAAATGAATGAGAAGATTTGCTTCGTGTCCCCCAGCGTTATCGCCCCCCAACACTGTGACCTACGGTGTCCCTTACCGTGTCCCTTACCGTGTCCTTACTGTCCTGCCTGCAAGCAAGGAAGACGCACTAATTATTCATAACTGATGTTTTTCAGTGCCTCGTGCCATTGTGGATGTTACACTGTTACACTTTTTATTTTCGTATATGTTAAAAAAAATTTTTAAAAAAAGCAATGGATGCTGGACATCGACGAAGATCCAGGGTGACTGTTTTAAAATGTGCAAAAAACAGAATTTTAGTTCTGGTTTATTATTTAAATCTGGCCTGTTATTTGTGATCTCTGTGTAAATATCTTTCGAGCCGGAGGTGTATGAAAGTAAAGATATATCTTTCAAGATAATATCGTCCTCAAAAATCATATTGGAAATACTTTGGCTTACATGGTACGCGTAGTGTATATAAACGGCTTTGTTATTACTTAGCTGTGTAACATTTGTAAACTGCAATTTTCTTCAAGGTAAAAACTTTGCTACATTTCATAAAATAGTTTAAAAGGCCTTTAAAAACCTGAGGACTTGTGGGAAATTTGCACCCCCTCCTGGACAAAGTGGGAACAGGCCAGAGCGCTTCACTACGCCTGCTTTAGCTGACCATGACAGGATTACCTTTTGCGTAGATAATGAGGCAGTTTTGTGGCATCGCAGTGTGGGACCTTGAAAAATGGGACAAGCCCCTGTTCGAACCTCACTACTACTGGAAAACCCCATGGGTAAATACTCCCCCCCTCCCACTCCCACACATCATCCACCGGATGATGGAGAGATAAGCTAAACAAAGCCATAATCGCTTATCTCGGCCTTCCACCTTGGCTTTGTAAGGTACCAGCCTTTGGAGAATGGATTTGATTGATTTCCTCACGATGTACTTGCTCGTGTGGGTGTGGGTGTCCAGCATGGCCCCGGTGCGAGGGGGGGCTCTGCCACTCTTTTCAGGCTCCCGCTTTTTGCAAGGATGCTTTTGAAGCTGTCCGACGTTGGGCACGAACGGTGACAGCAAAGTTTCGAAATCCAGTAAAGTCACTCGTTCGGTCTGCACACAGCCTCAAAATTCAGATCTCTCCATCTTTTCCGTCTTTTCAACAATTTCATAGTTGTTGTTCAAAGGCGAGTCGTTTCAGTAAGTGGAATGGGCTGACAGCCAATCAGCTGGTCTTAAATTAGTCATATGGTCTTAAGGTTGGATGTAAGTATCCGTACACCGACTATGTAATTTTTCACCCGAAGACATCATCTGCTGCTTTTTGACACTTCTTCAGTGAATTCAGAATTTAAAACAGGAAAGTTTTTTATGCTCAGGAAATGATTAAAACATTTGTCAGAGTCCATCATCAGAATCTCTCATTCAGTTGATGCTCAATGTTCCTCTCAAACCAACAGTGGCTCCCAAAGGAGTTGGGAGAGAATTTCTCAATGCTGTCCCATCCCATCATGCAAAGTACGGGAACTTGACGCTGTCTGTCATTAGCAAAGGGGAGAACCCATCTTGGTTCACAGGAGAACCCACACAGTTTCCTAGGAGAACCAGGGGTGTTTACAGGGTCTGGTTCAGAGGAGAATCTGTTTGGTGTTCCACAGAGTGAGAGAGAAGCTCAGCATAAAGGAGACAGAATAGCATGATGCTAACCACTGAAGGCTATCATCAATTACAGCAGCACCCACTGGCCTAGAACCCAGGCACAAGCCAGCAGAGACCACACAAGCTGCTGAATCTGATCCGGACCCAGTTCCCTTCTCCCCACGGCCATGTTTCCTCAGGATCACAGCGTTATGTCACAGAGTTACGCAAGCTGCAGTGTTTTCTTAATTTCGGCTTTAGTTCCTGTCGTTCTGGATTCTGTTTCACTGGGGTGGCAATCCTACACTCATCTACATCATCATTCTTGTCTCATCCCCATATCTATCTCCTTCCATCTTCCTGTGAACGCTACATGGAGGCCCTTGGGCTCAAGATGTTTCATGAAGAATGGCTCTTCTAGGGTCAAGAGGAGGTTTCCATCCTGCTCGTTCACAGCTAGGGCCGTAAAGCCGACACGTAGCGCAGTCTCACGTTCCCTGCGTCACGCCCCACCGGCAGACTGGCAATGGGAGGCAGCTGCCCCCAACCAAAACCCAGCAACCACGCTGAATAAAAGTACGACAATGGCTGCAGCCCGGCGCGAGGAATTGCTGATGTATAGAGACATACTGAGCGTTAATTTCCCTGTCTCCCGTATAGCTCCGTTCCGCCCTGCCGGACTCTCCCTGCACCTCGTCTCAGCCTCCCTCCTGCCCTTCCTCCCCTCGCTCTTCCTCCTTGTGAGTTCCCCCGTGTGCCCTGTCTGTGTGCTCGGACGCATTCCCCGGTGGTCAACCCTCTCGCCCGCAACCCCCGACCACGGACCCGGATCCTGACTCTTGCCTGCCGCTTGTTCCTGATCTCCCGGCTTTCGACCCCCCCTGCGCGACCACGTCTCTGTCCGCTCCCTGTATCTGTTGTCTCTGACGGGTTCAATAAAGGCTCAGTGATCAAACCCACAGCGGGTCAGTGCGTATTCGTGACACCCTGCCTCGTTAACCTGCCATTGTGACCGGAGTGGCCTTAAACGATGTGGTTCTCCTTAATGGAAAAAAACTTGCTGTGGTGACACACGTCATACCAGCCCGATGTCATGGATGTCACCTTCCTGGTGAAACGTTACGGAGGACGGAGCTGTCACGTGAAGATGTGAGTCAGGAGCAGGGGACACCGCAGCGGGGTGGGGAGAGGGGTTTGGGCACTTCTGTTATACCCATGTTCCCACACATGGCCCCCATCTACTACCCCTCCCCCCCAACCAACCCACACACAGTCAACCGTGGTCCAATATGAAAGGGGTCTGGCCTGTTCCATGAAACAAAACAAACTGTGATATTGTTTTTAAATATAAAAGGAATGAGGAATGCAAGTTCCACTTGGCTTGCTGGAATGGAAAATTATGTATATAACATACAAATTCAACCATCAAGATCTTTAATACTCATTACAAAGGACTTGAATGTCTTTAAAGTCTAATCGTTGGTGGGGCTGACATCTGCAGCGCCGGCTCACACGATGTTGCTGGATGTTGTACGACTAATTTCTTCGTGATGTTCATCTGTGTGGTCGCTGGGTTATATATAAGCATCGAAAAAACCCTGAGGAATGTAAACCCATTACTAAAGCTGTCAAACTGATCTGCGCGCTGGTAGATTTGTAGGAAATACAGGCTGCGTTTGAAGCACAGTCAGTGTTGTGGTTGTGTCTGTCCAACTGTTTGTCCCTCCTAGTGATGGGAGGGGACAAATCAGGAGACAAAATTGAACACTATACTCACAAGGAATGAGAGGGTGGCAGCAGGGGTCCAGGGTGGGCCCAATCCTAAGCCGGTCACCTGTAGTTCTAGGGTCTGCTTTCAGGTAGGGACAATTTGTAAATACCCTTAAGTCTGACTTCCCATAATTTCCCAGGTACCCCCCCCCCCAGGTGTCCCCACCCACCAGTAATGATGGGAGTCTTGCTTCAGGGTCTAAAGCGGAAGAGGGTCTCCCACCCATGCAAGAAAAATACAGGAGCCTGGAATTTGACCCCTTCCTGCCCCCCCGCTGTGTTGAGGGTCGTACTGTTGCGTGCCCCCCCCCCCCTTCCCCAGCAAACTGGGTGTGCTTTCCAGATAGGAGGGATGTCACCATTTTTGAGAGAGCAGTTGTCCCCGCCGAAATTCCCGAAAGTTCCTGGGAAATAAAATTACGAAAGACGTGGTCAAATTAAATCAAGCCGATTGCCTTCCACTCGGGGAACAATGGGGGGAAAAAATAACATAGAAGACAGAGTGGTGTCTTGCCCTCCCCCCCCTCCCCAACGAAATCCCTCTGGCCATGCCAAGACCTTTCAGCTGAAGCCGTTCACGTACTCCCACAGTCTGCAGCCGGGGAGGGGGGGGGAGAGGCCCAGTGGGGATGGAGGAGGCGCAGAGTGGGAGGATAAGCTCCGCAGGGGCAGAGACGGCTGGGGGGGGGGAATCACACAAACAAGTGGGCGCTGGTGACCACAGGAGGTCCTGTACCACAGGAAGGGCGCCTTCGTCTTTAAAGAACGAGAAGAATGAAAGAAGCCTGTTGGTTTGAGCTATTTGTGAACACCCTCAAAGCACCGGCTTTTCACTCACACTGACAACAATGCCCCAACGTGCCCCCCCACCCAGCTTGTCTGGCCCCTTACCCTCCCCCCGTAATTAGTTGCACGGATGCTGTGCTAAACTCCAGGTTTTGGATAAAAAAACAAACACGGATTCCCGGTGACCCAAATCGAGATGGATGATGGTAGAGGCGCACTCCCTCGGCCTCTTCTGGGGGGGGGGGGGGCTCGGCTCCAGGCGGTCGGTCTCGCACACGGTGACTCCTACACGCGTTCTTCACGAGCTGTTTTTACTGCTGCCAGTAAATCATGTGGTGCCGAAACACCCCAGGAACCAGCCGTAGGACGTGGTGGATCCCAGCAGGACTATTCAGGGAGGACTGGAGTCTTCCTCAGTGGCTACCAGTGCAGGGAGCATGTCTTCCAGAGATGAACCCAGGGAAGGTATGTGGTTGGACATGCGTGAGATTTTCCAGCTTCCTCTGCAGGTCATTGATGGGAGGCTGGGACTCTACTTTCATAACATGTATCCCTGAGTTCTGGTGGAATCGGAATATTAGCACACGGACAAAACCATCTCATAAGCAATCCACAAAACTAGATCTAAGGGCCCTAGTGTCATTCATTCTTACCATCAATTAGAGCAGATACAGATTTCTGCCTGGGCTTCCTTGTATAAAGACATTACAATGTGAAAGGAGGGGTAGTTTAGGATAACATGACATGTACGGTGTAAACACTCCTCGCCGACGTGACTGATCACTACACTCTCTGGGAGATTAGAGTGTAGAGAAGAGGAAGAGAGAGTGTGAAACATGGCCGCTTGAGAGAGCAGACGATATAAATCAAAACAGGTGACTGGAGGCATTCCACAGCCGTGGAAGGCTATTTTTAGGATCGCAGAACCTCAGTATGTATGTAGGTAGTGTAATATTTCTATGATTATTGTGAACACGCTGGTGTAAATAACACAGCAGCTCGGGATCGAGCCAATATTAGTGAGATATTCTAGGATTTTGTGTTCTTTAAGAAGCAGGGCTTAGTGCAGAGGCGAGAACTTAGCAAACCTGTGCTTTACTGAATCAGTGAAGGAGATCTCAAGAACATCGCTTGCATGTGCTTGCGGGATCTCTAAGGGGTTTCCGGCCTTGTTTGCAGATATTGCTGATCAGGTTTTAATGGTAGCAAAGGTGTCTGGGCCAGAAATGTAGCACCTCCTCTGTTTCTGAGATTATATTGTGAAACAAGTCACTTTGAAATAACTCATTACTCAAATTTTATTGTCATTTAAAAACACATTTTCTCTTTCTCCTCTGGAGAGATTCACTATTGTAATGTTGTAAAATGTATTATCTTCTTACCTCCTCAGTTTTTTTAACCTCCTCCAGTACCACAGGGTAGTTTGGTGAGTCTCTGGCAATTTGGCTACTGTTTTTTTTTTGCTGCAGCCCCATGTGTATAAAAACAGACAGACGTATAGCAGAACCATCCTTCCTCCTAGAGATATATCAACAGCAGTGAACGAACACGGCACTGAGAGATCTCGACAAAAAGAAAATTCGAAAGGGAACGTCGCCGACGTTTCACACTGTCAAGCTTTAGTTTATCGGCTGGCACCACAAGATCTGCGCAATTTCAGAACCTCAGCTCCTCATGTGGCTGGCTGAGGATGATTTTATCACCGGCAGTATTTTAATCTTGGTGCGTTTCAGACGCCCACGTGCATCCAGCCCTCTTGTGGTCTGTGTCATGACCCTGTTGTCTTTGGAAGCTTAGAACCCCAAGATTAGAGATAAATGTCCTCGGATTGTATCTGTAAAACTGCGACAGCATTCACAGAGAACGAGGGCCGCTGTGTCACTGCGGCATTAGAGTATAACGGGCACAGGCAGACTGAGAGAATGTCACAGCAAAGCATTCAGCACAGATAAGAGGGAGCACAGGTCCACTTCACTACAAACGGCCCAAATGTGTGGGTTGATGCCATCTGGGTCCTCCTGGACAAAGGGCCTTTGGGCTGCCACTCAGCGAATTGTTCTGGGGCACCAAAGAATCTCAGGAGAAAATGGGACATAATCCAACGGTAATCAATCAAAAAACCAGTGACACAAATTGTTAACGAATGTCACGATGGCACTATGAACCCCCGGGTGTCGCCGCCACCTGCGGCCGGCCCCCCGCCCACTGGCGTCGAAGATCAGCAGGCCTCGGAGGTCCCGCTCGCGTCCCATTGGCCGAGTCGCCCGAGTGCGGTATGGTTAATTCGACCATTATGATTGCGCAGCCTGTCGAGCAAGTCAAAGGAGCGCCAATGGTCCAGGCATGTCAGCTGACAATCGATACGGTCTCCATAGCGCCAGATGCTCTGTCTGTCTCATTGTATCAATCAAGATGGTTTCATCATTCAACTGTCCAATCAAGCCACATCGGTTTCATACCAGATTTACTTCTTAGAACATATAAAAGAACAATCAAGGTAATTTCAAGTGAAGTTACACAGAACATATTTATTTAAAACATTTATAAAACCATAAATTATAATGATAGATGCGATAAATAGAACAGTTCTGATATTACTTTGTGTCACACATGCTAGATTTTTCATTATTCCAGAGTATATAATTATATAATTGTGTTTCATGAGACAGGTGAGTGGTTCAAAGTGCATAGCATTTACATTGGTGGGGATGTACTCCGAAGTAACCGCTAAGCGGCGCCCTTGTTTTGCCACTCTTCGCTGCGCATTGCAGTGTATAGTGCTATCAGGAGAGCGTATATTGGAAACGTTTCACGTCGCGAGCGGTAATGGGGGTAGCAGTAGGCGTTTTTCAGGCACTCTCTCTGTGGTGTTATTTTGAGCAACAGCCTAAAATATACCGAACGAATCGTACTGGTTCCCGTTTGTGTCATTGATCGGGACCCCTAGAAAGTTTCACAAGTTGTTTGTCTTTGCCATTAAATGTGGTGCAGCTTGGAGATCGAAACGGCAATTCGCGCACAGTTGCGACAATAATATTCAAGCATACTTGAAAAACAGTGGTAATTGTTAAAAAAAATCCCAGGTCCTCTAACTGAAACCCATAATTACATTGAATAAAATACCGCAACAATGTAACATGAAACTGCTAATCGATTGACGCTTAGGCTAAATAAATCGCCGCTTTGTCGGAGGGCGGCGCGCGAAAGGTGCGCTGCAGTGAGTTTGTAGGGATGCGCGTGGATTGACTGGCGCGTCACAGGCAGCCGGAACGCCCCTTGGCAGCGGCTATAGACGCGGCGCCCTCTTCCAACACTTATTCCACAGGGATAAGAGCGCACCTCGGACCTGTGCAGCTCGGAGCGAAGGAGACGGAGTCCAACCCGAGCAAATGGCTGCGTTTGTTTTCACGGTGTCGTCTGTACTGTTTGGAATTTTCAGCTTTGTTTCCTCATCTCGGACTTATCCTCCGAATGAAGGTAAGGCAGAAGTGGGATCTTAATGGAATTTGTTTTTTTTTCCCACCGATGGCTCTCTTGTGAAGGACTACAGCATTTTAGTCTGCGGGCATCGCTGTTAAAGTCCCGCATCGACTGAAGATGTGTCCAAGAATTTACCAGGATTTATTTTTTTTTTTAATTTCTTTTTTTGCATGCTGTGTTTTTATGGGTTTCGACGCGAGTTGAAAACGTCGCGTCCTTGCATACAAATTGAGACGGACTCGACTTTTTTGTAAATCAGAGATCCGCGTATGCAACCTGACGAGCTTCGCGTTGTGGTGATGGCAATGCGCGGAGGGGACACTCAGATGCCATACAGTCCAAAGATATACGTTACAAAAAGTTCATTTTTATGCGAACAAATAAAACACGCAAAATCGCAACTATACATATACGTGCTTTGATGTGCATATAATTTTGTCCAGCATAATAATATAGAACATAATCCTGTACTTCACCAGTTAGTGAAGATATTGTTCTTTCAGTTGAATGAGTGAAGTTTATACGCGGGATGCTACTGGTAAATTTTGTGCGTTCAAAAATAGTTTGAACATTGCAATTCATGCATTAAATACGGAGCCTAATTAACTTTGAACGTCACCGTTCGCTGTAAACGTTAGACTGCGTTCTGAGACCGGTTTCATACAGACCTGATGCTCTGCGTAATTATTTGTCTTTCTCTGTTATGCGACACAATTAGTCACATATGCATTATGAACTCATTTCGAGGGATTCATGCTGGACTGTAAAATATAAATTCTTTGCTGACCAGTCCTTCTAGGGTTCTCCTATCAAACCGTTGGATCGCATCCAAACCCCCTATTCTTTTCCAGCCAGTGAGTAGATCTGATTCGAATTGCGCATCAGATTAAAGCCATACACATTCCTAAATTTTTATCTGTTCGTTCTATATAAGTAAAACTATTTTGTAGCCTAATCAGAATAAATTACAGAATAATTAAACACAATCTGTTGTTTAGTGGTGTATTCTTGAACCTTGTTGTTTTTAGCGTGAATTTTATCTTCTTACCATTTGTTTCAGTAATCCGGGGAACAAAAAATCAGTAGGCTTTTAAATAAGTGTAGTAAACGTTTTATGTTATGAATTGTTCATTGTTGACATTATCACAGAAAAGCCCTATTATTGATAAATATTTAAAATTGAAACTTAAATTTGTTTAATATTGAGCCAAAGATACAAACTTTAATGCTCTATTTAATGATCGTAAACAAGAACGATTACGTGAGGAACGTCGCGCTATTGTGACTATGGATACGAAGTTGCAATGTTTGAATTTAATTCCCTGCGCAGAGACGGCGCTGAGAGCTGCACTTTTGTCTTAATTGTTGCTCTGCATGCATTTTTACTCAGCGGGGATTTCTGTTCATTTACTTTTTGTTTTAGTGACGCTCCTGGACTCCCGAACAGTGCAAGGGGAATTGAAATGGGTGGCAAGCCCAACAGAAGGAGGGGTAAGTGCACCCCTCGCATAATATCTACTCTTAAGAAAAGACCTAAATGTCTTCTTTTTTCCTTGGTAACGCGAGAACGATGTTGTTCAGAGGCGTCATATTTCCTGAATAGACAGTTCAATGAATCGTCTTTTGTGGGGTAACTTTATATCCCCCACTCGGAAAGAGAAAAAGGTGAGGGGGCCTTTTCGGCGATTACAGAATCATAGGGGATCATCTGGAAGGAGATCTGGATGAATGCCGCGCCCGTGACCCGTCTAATTGGTGTATATAAGGTAACACTGATAAGGAAACAAAGTGCAACTGTTCAAAACTACCGATTATAGGGAAACGTGAACGGCTGTATCGGGGCCGAGCGGCTCGCTGACAGCGGGCTGATTTAGCGCAGATACGGGAGCGCCGAGACGTGCGGGGACGCTCCAGCAAACCGCCTGTATTACTGCTGTCTTTGGAGGTGCCCCGCTACGTACAGTGGCTTATTTCACATCGAAATTATGTGGCTCCTTGGGGTTTTTGACTCATGTCTTAATCTATATATAGGGCCTAACCGTATTGTGAAAATTAAAATATAAATAAATAATAACATTGATAAGACAGTTTAGTCTCTCATTTTTGCGTTTAAAATATAAGTAAATGTATAATTACATTTTCTTTATTTTTGAAGATTAAACTTTAGATAGACCATTGTTAAATTAATAGTTAATTAACTTAATTGTTATCTAAAAGCTCCAACAGCTGCACTGCGCTATTATTATTAATTATTATTATTAATAATTGTTATTGTTATTCATTATTATTATTAATTATTATTGTTGTTGTTAAAGCTCTCGTCCGCAAGCACACGTTTACTCGTTTTCCGGTAACTTTTAACGCCCGGGTGGCGCACTGCCTTTGCCTTGGAAATGGAGATCCGATGAAGGTCCGATAGAGCGACGTCGCCTGCGGCATTTCCTTTGATATACTTTCAAGAAAATAAACACCAGGATGAGCAAACAAATGTGAATTCTCAAATCCTTTTTTTTGCTGCTACATAAACATATTACACGTTTTTTCCCCATTAGAGATTTTGATCACAGGTTTTTAAGATTCATGGGTAAATCGTGTTATATATTTTTTAAAAATATTTACTTTAACGAGAGCTTCAAGCTGCGTCTGTGAGCCTCGTTTTCGCAATAAAAATCACCTGAGCGATTACTATCGTCCTAGAAACGAAAGGCCAGCACCGTAATTGCCTGCACCCTGCAACTGCTGAGATGATAAGCAAGCTTTCTGTTTTATTCATTTTTAAATCAATTTTTGTGACCTGTGGGCTCTGTAGGCTCTGTGGGTTCTCCGGTGTTTGGTAATGAGTAATGAAAATGGGCGTTGTCCTGTTTTGCGGCATCGTCTACTAGTGGGAGGAGGTGAGCATCATGGACGAGAAGAACACGCCCATCCGCACCTACCAGGTGTGCAACGTGATGGAGCCCAGCCAGAACAACTGGCTGCGGACGGACTGGATCGCTCGCGGCGGAGCCCAGCGCATCTACGTGGAGATCAAGTTCACGCTGCGCGACTGCAACAGCCTGCCGGGGGTGACGGGCACCTGCAAGGAGACCTTCAACCTCTACTACTACGAGTCCAACGACGACAAGGAGCGCTACATCCGCGAGAGCCAGTTCGGCAAGATCGACACGGTGGCGGCGGACGAGAGCTTCACGCAGGTGGACATCGGCGACCGCATCATGAAGCTCAACACTGAGGTCCGCGTCGTGGGCTCCCTGACCCGCAAGGGCTTCTACCTGGCCTTCCAGGACGTGGGCGCCTGCATCGCCCTGGTCTCCGTGCGCGTCTTCTACAAACGCTGCCCGCTCACCGTCCGCAACCTGGCGCAGTTCCCCGACACGGTCACGGGTGGCGACACCTCCTCCTTGGTGGAGGTGCGTGGCTCCTGCGTGCACAACTCCGAGGAGCAGGACGCCCCGCGCATGTTCTGCGGCGCCGACGGCGAGTGGCTGGTGCCTATCGGTAACTGCCTGTGCAGCCCCGGGTACGAGGAACGTGGCGGCACATGCAATGGTAAGTTACCCCTGTAAGGGACACCGAGCAAGAGGATATACTGTAGACCCCAGCTCCTCATCTTCCATCCATCCATCTATCTATGCATGCGTCATGTGCTGTTCAGGTTGTCTCTGGGGTCCTATGATATAGGTGTCCAACCATTTGCCTGCTCTGCTGGTTTCTCTGCGGATTGTGCTTGTACTGACCACCAAATGAAACCACTCCTTCTCGTTTTGCACACCCCCCTCCCTTGGTATTTGCGTTATAAGTACATTTAGTCCAAAAAGGATTATTAGATAGGAAATGTGTTTACAGAGCAGCTCAGAGCAGGAGAAGCGATGTGGAGCCGGGCGAGTTAAAAGCGCCGTGCTGATTATGCGACTTGAGAAGCGGCCCTCGGGGTTTGCTCGTCAGGTGGCGGCATAATCGAGGATCTCGCTTCGGCTGCTTGCCACCGGAATGAACTTCTCACGCGGACAGACGCTGGCCCGCTCCCGAGAGGCCGCTTAATCGTCCCAGGGACGGGAACACACCGTCAGGAACAAAACAAAGGACGGCAGGCAGAAGATGAGATGATCTCAACGCCGTCACAAAGATGACGGCCGTTGCCCTCCGTTTGCTGGCTGTTTTGAGAGTTTGAGTGGCAAGACGGGGCAGGGGGCCTAAGAGCGGGGTCAGGGGTCAAGTCTGCTCTGGGAGGGTCGGGGGTCAAGGCTACTCCGGGAAGTTTGATTGCCGGTTAACGCACCATCGCCGAGCCCTCCCCCTCTGCCGGTCCAGCCCTCCAAAGGGGTCCAGACTCAGAATCCTCGAGAAACATATCAAGCTGAAACGTAGAGGAAGAGCAAGGAAACGCCGCAAGACACTTTCACACGGAGATTAGGCAGGACGTCCGCTTTAATCCGCTGGTTTATTCTCTTTGTTTTTCAATAAATACACAGGGAAGGGTTTGCATTTTCTCTGGCTGCATCTGAACCGCAGGACATCTTTCTAAAGTAGAGTAATGAACCTTGAAATTGGAATAGATGACTGAAAAAATATAAAGACGCAACATGTTTTATAAAAAGCGCAGGCTTTGCAGAGTCCTAGGGCCTGTTTCATTCGTGCAGCTGCTGTCTGTAGTTCTGGTCAGTACAGTGTCAGTCCTGCTGACATTCACGCCCCGAGTCCCGCTCTGGGTAAATGGGGGCCGACACGGTGGATTATCTCGTGGCTTCACCTGTCCCGACCGCGACAGCGTCCGGCATCCTCCTCTCCAGGGTGAGGTTGAAAGGTCCTTCACACTCCCAGGCTCTGGGTTCTGCTTGATATTTCGGAGCGTGAATCCAGAGCGGGGGCCGGATCGAAAGCTCCGCCTTGACCGTGACGACCATGATGGGGTTATGGTCTGCAGGGAGAAGGGGGCGTCGCTCGGTGGGACATCCCAGGGCGTCAGAGAAAGTCGGACGGCTGCGGAGGCGGGGGACGGGTGAATGCGACAGCCGCCCCCCCCCCTCCCCGCTGGGCTGAGGGCAGTCAGGGGCAGGAATGCGACGGGACGGACACAGGGGGGGGTCAGAGGTGCTCGCTGCTCCCATCCATCTGTGTCCATTAGAGACTGTCGTTGATTAAGACCTCAGAGTTTGACAGCTTGCTATTGTCAGTTGACCCTGTCACTAAAGGTACGAGGCATACAGACACACAGACAGACTCATGTGGAGATACACGCAGACAGACACATGCCAGGAGCACAAACAGGAACATACAAGCCACAGATGTGGACACACGCGTGTTCAGGATGGCTCCAGATGCAAGTGATAAGGAACATGTTGATTTATAAACATTATGGTATTCCATTTTGTGCCCCATACATCTCTCTCTCTCTCTCTCTCTTTCTCGCTGTGCTGAATCTCCAGCCATATCCTAAAACCAAGCGTCAGGCATTCATCTGATTGGCAACAGATTTAAACGACTTAGAAACTCGCAGTGTTTCTTTTTTATTAGGGTGAGACGTACTTAATTATGGGTTATCCGCTGTCGTACGATACTTTGTGCCTGGAGACTTTAGCCCTGAATAGGGCCGACTGTTGCCATGACACCGTCGGAGTTGTCAGTGGTAAACTGGATGTTCTGGGTCATTCGGAAGCTGCGCGCTGCCTTCATTCATATAGCTAGATAGCTACGCGCAGCAACCCACAAAGGCAATTCGGTTTATTCATTTTTTCGCTGGCACTTTAACAGTCATTATCGGAAGTGTTGTTTACGCCAGTGGTGAATTTCAGCAGTGTTGGGATTAGAGGGGCAGACCGGCGCCAGAGAATTTGTGGGGTCGAGTGAACGTCACGCTACAGGTGGATGTGACTTATATGTCCAGCTGGCCCCCCTAAGTTAGGATGATTACAAGGGGGCCGAAAAATATTTGGGGCCCAAAATAATAGTTGGGGCCCAGTAAAATGTGTTTTTAATGGGTCCAAAATCGGTAACGGTACCGCTAATGATCAGTGACCCGTGAGGTCTCAGTCGCTGCTCTGTTCTGCTCCGCTGTCCTGGTCCCAACCTGCTGAATCACGCCCCTGTCCTCCATGGCCGGGCTCGGCACCCGCCGTCCAGGATGTAAAACACGCCGCCCCCTACAGGCCGAGCGTTCCTGGGAGAACGCGCCAGCGGTCTCTGAGCCAATGCGGGCCACGCACGTCGATTCCTGTCACGATCCCCCCCGCACCCCCTCCCCCACACACCCCTCCCCCAGGCCTGTGAAAAGGAGGGCCGTCAGCTGTCTGAGAGGAGTGAGTGAGGGAGAGAAAGGAAGAATGTGGCAAGAGGAGAAAAAAAAATAGAGTCCTGCACTTTGGTCACTGGTGGATCCCTCATTTGCATATTCTGTATGTCCCCCAAATGCAAAGCGACACAGCACATGGCCCCCAGGCTCAGGGTTCAGGCCCCCCTCTTTATGAAGAGTCCTGCCCCCCTTCTTCCAGAGCACCCCTCCTCCAGTCACTGATTTACATTTATTTGCTTACATTTCTGATCTATAATTCAGATTTTATAGTGCCGCTTCTCATTCTGCTGGGCTAGCCTTTAGGTCAAGTCGATTCCAAACTCCAAGTGTGTGTGTCTGTGTCTTTCTCTGCGTGTGTGTCCATGTTTGTGTGTATATTTATACATTTATATGTGTGTGTGTCTGTCTGATAGTGTGTATCTGTATGTGTGTCTGTCTGAATATGCATGTCTGTGGCTGAATATGTGTGTCTGTGACTCTGTGTGTCTGTGACTCTCCCCTCGACCTCCATCAGCTTGACTAAGGTCATGGTGTCAGGTGCCCCCTGAGGTGTCCTGCTCCTATTCCTCCTCTCCTGCTGAGCCTTTCCTTTCTGAGAAGCATAGAGACACAGAGTCCTAAAGGCTGCACCGAATTCCCCACGAGACTCACGTCGTCTTCGGTCCAGTGTCGGTTCGGTCTGAACGCCTCGCTTCTAACAGACGCCACTCAGTGACATTTAAGACGCCATCCGCCTCACCCTGACACATGAATGGCAGAATTTGCACGTTTTCACGCGGCAGTGAGGGTAGATGTTCCGGCCTGGTCTCCGGGAAGCATTTCCGCAGCACAGAGACGGACAGTGTTTTTGAGTGTAATAAGAGGCCACACTCTCAGAGCCAGACGTGAGAGAAGTGCATTCGCACGTTGGGCCTCTGGTCTTTTTCACTCTTTCTCCAGGACTGTGTGTGTGTTCATTCTCATTATTTCCAGATGTTTCTTCTCTTTCCTGTCTTTCCTCAAAGCTTTTCTCCTCTTGGCTCTTTCATCGCCTGGCTTGCCCCGTCGCCATGTCCTGAGCATCGAATTGAAACACCCACCTCGGCCCCAACCCCCCCCCCCCATGCCCACCCTCCCTTACTGCTTCCTCCATGTTTCTCGCACGCTTGGGAAAGTAACCCGGACACGGACAGCCGGTTCGACGGCGCGTGTTTCGGTCGCCATGGTACCCCCCCCCCATAAGAACGGCCTGGATTACCTCCACCTCGCTCCCCTTCCTGCGGTCATATGACTCCAGGGATTGTGGGCTCGGGGTCGCCGTGGTGACGCCCCCCCCACCCCGGCTCTCACAGACGTCTGTCGGCACCTGTCTACCAGTCAGAAAGGCATTATGGCGTGATAAAAATGGTTGAGCGAATACGAGTAATTAGGTGTGAGCCTCGCAAAGCTTTCTTTACCACAGAACATTACCGCTGCCAATTAATTTGAAGGGCTTTCATCTCACTGCCAGACCAGTGGCCACCCCCAGCCGTCTCGCTCGTTACTCACCACACAGACACGATACAATTAGGATATTATATGATTTATTTAATTAGCTAAGTTCCTCTCTTGCGTGTCGAACCCGACTTCACTTGGTAGCTGAGGTTAATCGCCTAGGGGGACTTCATTATCTTACATAGCTGTCTTGCTGTCGGAACGTGACCCCACCCCCCAGGAAAAGGGCCCCCCCTCTCTTAGAGTGGCTGTTTTTTTGTACATGTGATCTAAAGGCTGTTAACATCACTCCTCTTTGAGCTGTTGACTGGACATGGGGCAGAGTGAGTCAATCAATCACCTACTGCACCGAGCCTCTGACAGAAGCGATTCACAGCAGGAGAATGTGGTTTATTAAGTGTGACTGAAATGTGGTCTAAGCCACCGCTGAGCCTATTAGCATCCCAGCCTGGGGGGGTGGGAGAGGCGGCAGGGGGTTTGGGGGGGCGAGGGCTAAAAACTCTTGAATGGATTAGACTGGAAGGAGGGGCTCAGAATCCAGTTCACAGAGGTAGAGCCAGAGTCCTGCAGACCTACACGTGACACCAAGGACATTCCTAAGTGACAGGTCCTGGGGACCCTAGTCTAAGCTGGAATGGTCCCGCTGTCACTAGATTCTGCTATTTCCACGGCAACATGACCACCGCTACCGCGGAAACAGCTAAACGCAGTGCCGGCAGGACCCATTCTAGCCATAGGTGGCCCCGATGGGAGCAGACAGACTGATGAAAGAAGGCAAAAACGGGCCGTATTCGCAGTGTGAGGATGTTTTTTCCCGTTACTTTTGCAGAAAATTGCTTAAAGGTCAGCGCAGTTTTTCCTGATCATGCCGCCGATATTTAGCAGTCAGCTGATGGTGGGAATGCGGGGCAGCCTCGGTGCTTTTAGCTGAGCGTGACGCAGCTCAGCGAGCCAGACAGCGGACCCCGCCAGTCCGCACTACCCGTCCCAGGGCTCCGCACCGGGCCGCGCCTGGGGGGGTCATGACATTAGCGTCGGAGCATCCAGCTGTGGCTGAGAGGCTGCATTAGTCGGCTAACCCGCGCTAACCCGAAAGCCATTAGCGGATCGCGTTGCACAAAGAGTAGCCGGGCTCGCGCAGGCTGCTGCGCGGGGTTAATGGCGGTTGGCGTACACCGGGGGCTGGAGCCTTTACGCATCACTTCCTTTTGGGAGGCGGGCGTCCACTCAGGCCCCGCCCACTTGAGCCATGGTTCGGTGTGTTCCCAGGCAGTTGGGCGATATTGCTGCAAATCCTCGTTCTAATACGCTGATAATGATAAAGTCTGAAACATGATGTAATGTTTGAATGGAAAGGAGACGAGGATCGGCTGGATTATAATGTCCTGTTGCCATGTGATGCTCCTGAATGATGACAACTTCCGGAATATGTGAGGCTTTCGCCATACAGAGGCATTGACGCGCTAACTTGCCTAGCAGCTGCCCCCCCCCCCCGTCCTGCCGCCACCTTTCCTTCCTGGTTTGTGCCCGGATTCCGTCCCGGTGTTGCTCTTGGAAAATCCACGTGCTCCCCCCTTCCTTTGAGCCATTGTGGTGAGTGGCACCGTCTTTGTGGTGAGCCTGATGATAAGGCCAACATTAATACAGCAAAGAGAAATGTGGGGAGGGGCCGACGCCCAGAAAGACATTTTTATACGGGGTGGTTATGGCATGAATCGCTTTGCATTCCTGTCTCGAAGCAGAGGTGTGGGACGAGCACTGGGGGTTTCTGGGAAACGGCAGCGGGAGGGAGGACAAAGTTTGCCTTCCAGTGAACGGAGATTAGTAACAACAGGCTTTGTCTGATCCTGATTGAATCATTTGCTTCAGGTGGGCCAGGCAACCCCATAATTTCTCAAGGGGCTGCAAGCTGTTTCTCTAATCCTACAATGCAGGCCCCCCTCCCAACCTGGTTTTACTGACGTGGAAGGAGCTGGGGATCTTGGGGGGGGGGGGCAGAGTCTGAGCTCCCCGTGTGTGTGTGTGCATCTGACGCGTTATTGGCTCTCTGAACCATGTGACGTGGCCCTGCTCTCTCGTCAGGCTCCTCTCCTTCCTCTGTTCTCCCTCCCTGCAGCCTCATCCTCTCTCTTCCAACCCCCCCCCCCCCCCCCCACCCCCC